TCGGAAAAGCCCATAATAGATTGATGTTAGCACATCTTTGATTTCGTTTGGAAAGGCGAGTGGAAGGGACTCATAAATTGGCCTCGCCGGATATCGAAGGAGGATTCTTGGACTTGTGATAACTGGGTTAATCGGACTCGTCCTCTTTGATGTCTCACCATATGAATACAACTTGATGCAGACATCAGAGAGGAATTGTCTATATTATTAAGACTAGTCCTTAATGTAATCTTTTATTATTTCTTCTAGGAAATGAGGTGACTCCCGGATGGAACGACCCTCCAAATATTGTCCAGTCAACTAAAGAGGCCGATAGAAAAAGGCCATCTCGGCCTCGAGCATTTCATTCTCTTGATGGGAACCCCAAGTTTGTGATAAAATCGGGAGATTCTCCTCAAATTCCATCAGCACCACTTGTGAATTTATTAACGCTTCCTTCGCAGACAGCTTTGCAGGATTCTCAAAGTAACACCAGTTTGGCTGCTTTCATCCCCTTTACCCCTATTCCTTATGTACCTCACACAATGAATCAATCCTTTTTAAGCAATCCAGGCCTGTTATCAACCGAACCCCCATCTTCGGGCGGAACAAGTTCTAAAGTGATATGGAATAATGGTCTTTAAGATGGTGAGACCCTTAGCTAATCGGTAAGTACCATTATTTGTTTTGCTCATAAGAGTAGATAAGTGAATTTTATTTATTTATATTAATATGCACACTAAGGCAGTTAGTGTATGTCCAAGCAACACCATCATCCTCGAATTGGTGTTCAGAATTTTATATCATCATTCAAGCACTGATTATTTTTTGATGCAGAGACTAATAGTGCGTACTTTAGCTTAGATGGAGCGCTCATACGTGTCTGGTATTAAGGAATAATGTGGATATAACGGAATTTTATTTCCGTGCCCACTCAAGAGGAGGATGAAAAATCGGAGGAAATAGAAAGTCCTGCCTTTTATGTCTGCAGAGCGAAAAGTCAGTCAATTAGTTAACTGAATTTACACGGATGACATAGTGGGCACCCTGGGTTTTTAGATTATGAGAA